TGATGCTGACTCTAGTACCAACTACAATAAACTACTTGGGATTTAGGCACGCGTGTATTTATAATGATTGATGGACCGTGTTGACAAAAACGAAATTGTACCAACGACTTTTCAGATAAAGGTGTTTCTAATATTTTATTGATGTACGTTGTTGTTCGCTCATGTCTACCTCTTTCCTGCCTGCGTCCCAGGGTCCTATACCATGGCCTTACCACGATTTTTAAAACCGTTCATAATTACGTTTACTATTTCAAGTGCTGGGAAGCATTAAAATTGCATGTCTAGGTGTCAAGGCCATTTGAAGTAAGGCTGTGATTCTTCTGTTTTGTTTGCCAGTTACAAGTCAAAACGTCTCGTTTATGTTTATCTAGAACGACAACACATTTCCGTGGGATTCATGTTAAATATAAACACCGACTTCGAATCGTCTCTTTAAAACAGAAATCAGAAACCAGAAACTTGAACATCTTAATAGTTTAAAACAATAACAATTGATATTAAATATTGCGATATTGATCATACTTGATTCCGTTGTTTTTTTTTACCTAAATCAGGACCAAGATTTACATGACAGATTTTGTTGATGAAGCAACAGATGCTTACCCTTTTGGAACACCTGATCTTATTATCCTAATCCTTTTTTTAAAAGATCTCCGTGTAAATCTTTTTTTTTGTCCCTTTTTTGCCAAAGTTTTATCGATTTTTTTTTATTGTATTAAGATTCTGTTAACAAATCAATATTTTTGTTGTTATTAAACAGTTTGATGAGATGTGAAATTAGTCAAAAAATAATCTTCGAATCCGCAGCAGTTAGTTAATATCATATATTTTCTATCTGAACTTGAGTGTTTAATCATGTATCAACTACTGAGCAGGCAGCCACTAGGTATGTAATAAAATTTCTTATCTTCGTCTCAGCGAAATTTGTTAACAAAACGAATTTCACAAACCCATTACATATTCGTTGTGAAGGGAAACAGCCAATGACGTAGGTTTTACGGTTCGGTAGTCATTACTCTTCATTAATAATTCAGAGTTTACGAAAAGATACATTTTATGTATATGATTACATGTATATGATGGAATGAGCACGTGGTTACTGGCAGATCATTAGCTCTGTAATAGCCTGTACAATAAAAAACCTATAACAACTGCACTATGATAGGCTATAGTGTATCAGCTGTATTGATCTGCTGTACAAGCCTACATTCAATAACATGCTAGTAACACAGAGAATTTACTGTAGACAGCGGCTGTGCTAGGATATCAAAATAATGTCAGCATTATGCTTTAAAACCATTAAGTTTTACTTTATGAAAATAATTATTAAAGTTACATGTTTATCAGTAATATTTTACACAACAACTGAAATCTAATTATATACGTCGTGGAAATATGTCAAATAATTTGACAAACTTGTTCATATTTCTGTCGATATGTAGGAAAAATTAAATTGAAAACGGCCTGACGTGTAATTGTGTTTAATTATCTATTTGAATCGCCTAAATAGTCAATCTTTACATATGTTATCATATAAATATTTATCGATTTTCTCATGAGTTTGATAATCTTTTTCCTCAGAACAATGCACGTGCAATAGTTTATGTTTCACATAATTAATCACAAAATATTATATCACATTAAATTATATTGTTTATGGTTAATAACATTATAAGGCAGGCCATCTTAAAAAATATTTTATTGATGTCAAGTTAAATGATGTATTGATGAAATGTTGAAAGATATTGTATGATTATAATGATTAACAACATTGTACTGTGTTATGACAAATAATTCTGTATATAAGGTAAGTAATAAAAAATATTGTGCGTATGTTATTCCATGTATATGTATCATTAATATATATCACGATATAACAGTATACCATGATACAAAATAATGTTTATGCTGCAAAGGAAAAATATTAAATGAATGTCGTTTTCACAACAAAGTATATATGTGAAGATTAATCTTATGGTGTATTTTGTTTCCTAATTGATACGTTTTTGCGTGAATGATATTATTTGAGTAATACTTCATGTATTCGAAGAAATCTATGAAATAGCATGGTATAATGTTCAAGCATAATAATAGTTTATCCTGGTTTGGTTGGCAATTGGTTACACAAATCAAAACAAATATTATACTCAAAAAGGTTTGTTTTCATTGTAAGAAAATATCTTAATTCTTTTTAGCTTTGTAGTCATCAGCAATTATCAGTACACTTGTGTTCACCTTGTATATTTCATGACGTTTTCACACAAGCAAATATAATCTTAAGAAATTGCATCTTTTCGTTAATTTTGTGTGTTTTTATATTTTTTTTACGAGAGAAGGGAATACAATGCCCTGTAAGGACATTGTGTCAATATCTTGTCCTATACCTTTACGGTGACTTATTTTATTCTGGTCATCTTATCGCAATACCATTAAAACAGTTTAACTATAACATACTGAAGTGTGATATGGATGACAAATTTATTTACTCTCCACTCACCGTTGAGTTTTAATAATGTAAAATAATTTTTATACTAATCTGAGGTATTGTGATTTCTGAGTATAATCGTTTTATATATAACCATTATCTCGGGTAAGATAACAGTACCAGTATTTATCTCGGAATTTTAACGACGATGTTTTCAGTAAGGAAGAATGAAAACAGTTTTGAATAAAATCTGTGATCAGAGTTAATCATCTAAGTGACGAAACACTGCTGTATCTTCTAAATTATAAAACGAAAGTAAGCACTCTTATATGTAGATAAAATGTATCTTTATCAATATAAAATATTCAGATTTACCAAATGTAAATACACTTTATAAAAAATATTAATTGACAAGAGAAAGCGTTACATTTTCCACTAAATTCTGAGGATCTAATAGCGATACAGTTAGTGACAAATGAGGTGTCTTAAGTCAATTTACTATAAATGAAAGATTCGTTTTGTCAATACGACCAAAATTCCGATGTTTTCAGTGTGTGTGTGTGTGTGTGTGTGTGTGTGTGTGTGTGTGTGCGTGCGCGTGTGCGTGTGTGTGGAACACAAGTTCAATATTAAGCATTATATTCTTTTATTATTTTTTTCTACTCTTTTCTTTTTTTATTTATTATCTTTTTTCGACCTATACATGTAACTATAGAGAAATCATTTATTATAAAATTATATATATACCGGATATTACATATAAATAAAATAGGCCATATTAGGAGAACTTATTTACTTTCATTTTACATTATAACTCTTGATATCGTGAGTTCTCTTTTCTAATGTTGTGTTCGTCTCTATGATTAGGATGTGATATCTGGACAAAGACGGCTGGATCGAATGTTAAAAGTTTAACATCTCAACTGGGAAGTATATGGTCTTCAATAATATATAACACGAGAGCAGTGATATGGTGATACAGCATTCATGCTGGTTCCCATTATCCCTTCAATGTATTTTTTAATAACGTACTGAAAGTACTGGTCACATACATATCTCTTTGTAAAATCCCTTCCTTTATCTGCACACAGTCAGACAGAAATTACTATCATTATTAGATGGACGTATGATTTTCTCCAGTTGATAGGGTGACATTCATTAATATCTGTCACTCTCATCTGGTAAATATAATAGGACATTATTATGTATCATAAATGTTGTATTTTATATATTATATAGCATTATGTGTTATTATATCCCTTATGGTGCTTCAGTTATCTTATATATCACCGGCTTCTTATTATATAACACTAAAATTGTGTCTCACTGTTATATAAAATCTTTCCTGTATTCTTTGTGAAACATGAACATGTATATATATATATATATGAAAATATATAACTGTTCTTTTATTGTAGATATCTCCATCTCCACTCCTCTTTGCTAATTTAGAAAGGCAAGAAAAATTCTCAATAATTGTTTGAAGAATACTCTCAAAAACCTTACGAACAATAATCTGTGTCATTGTTTAGTCTGTATATCTGCAGTAAGATGTACGATGTATTAACACATTATATCAGAAATGTGTAGGCATCTTGATACAAATTGCGTTCTGTTACTTATATAGTCTGGTAGTACAACGAAATCAAACATAGATACTACATATCAGAATGTTATAAACAAGTTCAGGTTTAGTTTAATTAAATATTATTTTGACAGGAAATTTATTGTTACGTTTATTTGTCTGGGGGCATTTTAAATTAGTTTAATTTTATTTCATTGTTTTTTCCTTGTTCTGAATAACTTAAGAAAACAAAACACAAGTACAAAGACATGAAAAATGACTGACAAGATAATTCACTTTTAAATAATTTAATAAAATAAGAGTGATATCGTGATGCATGTTTTAGTTACAATGACAAGACAGCAACATTGTATAGCACCATATCAATAGTCATCAAACAAAAACACTTTCAACAGGAACCTAAGCGGAAGGATTTGATTGCGCACGCAATTTCTTATGTATATATAGGTTGAATTTCCGTTTCCGGTTCAAGTTGTGAAACTGTACATCTTTTGACACATGCATCGAACAAATAAGTATGAGGTTTCTATAACAAAAACAATACTGAGACATTTAAATGAGAAAACAGAACTGTGTAGTCCATACATACAACCAGGTCACAACAAGTCTCCTGCCTCAGATCACGTGTCACTGTCACCATTAAAGCCTTGCACCTCTGGACGTCCTCGGCCAGCTCTGCACACTAACCACATGGGTCAGTTGAGTCCTTTTGGGCCAAAGGAACGCAGTTAGTTATGTCCCAGTTGGGGCATGATTGGTCACGTGGTACCATGTACGCCTGAAGTCTATGAACAAACATTGCGATTCATTGGTTTTATACACATTGCTGGACACAACAAGGGGAATGGCTTTGGCATTATCATGTCCAAACGAAATATTTTCACAAGGCTCAGCCCAACATTGGCCTAATTCACTAGGCAGTGTCGAGGAACGCATAGGGGTTCGGTATGGTTACCAAATGTACAACAATGATGTTCCGCCGGATCCACCTCACGCCATTGGACCAGGAAAGTTCATGTTCATCATATGCACGTTTGGCGAGAGGTGTGACGTGTAGGCTTGTGAGGGTTGCATGTAGGTACAAGATGGGAGTGAAGGGTGCTGTGGGGGCGACGTCCGGATACCGTATCCATGGGAACCAGAAGACAAGTGACTTGACGACTGCCTCAGGGCACAGTCACTGCTCGGACCTGACAAGCGACACGCCTGCATCTGTGGACTTACGGCGTGGAGATTGGAGGAGCCGACAGGTTGAAGGAGGCTGGAGGTGGTGGACACTGGGAGGAAGGAGCTGGTGGAACCTCTGTTGACGGATGTGTGGTGAGGATAGTACACTTGCTCACTGCCCATACACTGACTGCTATATGACTTAGAGCCCACGCCCAGGTACTGACACTGGTTAGACGGCGGGTTAGAAGCACTGTGCTGGGTAGGGCTGGTGGTCTTGCTGAGAGAGGGAGCGCCGGGAGAGATTCCTGATGAAGACTTGCTGCCGATTTGACACGAAGGTAGCTCCGTTTCCGATGTATCATTGTGAACGTCGTCCGAATGGTCCGAGACTGGGTCGTTTTCGTCTTCGGATTTGATGCGATTTGACGAGTTCAAACTGCTGTTTCTGTCGCTAAGTTCGTCGTCTGTTTTCATCTTTTTGGCAAAGTTCGATTCTGAAAACAATATACAAAAAAACATTAGCATGTAAGTCCTGCTAATATTGCAACATATTTTTTTCAGATTATAACGCCAGCACAACAATATAAATTCTTCAACATTGACAAATTACTTTGACAGACAATCGTCGTTACTCATGACAACATGACATAAAATTAACTAAAAGAACCGTCAATACAGATGTGACGTCACGAATAATCTTCTAAATGAACAGTGCTGAAGGAACAGACTTTTCACTTGGCGAGGTGTTAATGTTCGGGTTGGAGCGCGGGAAGAAGAATCCGGAATCACGCAGGCATTGAAGCCAATTTTCACACTTGAGCGTAAGATTAGATGCTGGTTCAGTATCGTATGTCAACCCTCCGCGGATCGATGCCTCAATACAATGCTCGCATGTGTCATTAAATTTTAATCTGAATTGACGAGCAAAAAGCCGTTATCGTGCATCACCATTGGGCAGTTTTTTGTAACGTGTTCTTGTTTCTTTTAGAGTTTTACTCGTACGCAAATACAATGTAAAATCAAAGATTACTTTCTAGATTTGGGATTTTTTTTATGTTTCGTGCTTTATATATATATATAGAACAACGATTTTCACTCTCATTACTGTTTTTTGTATAGAGATTCAGATTGATGTATTTTCATTCACTTTTCTTCACTTACTATTTCTTTACTCAATAAATCAAAAAAAGAAAACAGTGACATCTGTGAAAGGTATCATAATATACATGAAATTTTCAAACATTCCTTCCATACATGAAGAAATAATGTCGAGAATTTGAAGCTGTATGAACAAATTTAATTTAAGATTTGACTTTATTTTTATTTTTTTTTCCTCTTTGTTTTCTATTTCATTATTGTTCTTTATCCAATTCCAGAAACGCTTCCTTAAAGTGATGATATGTGGTTGCTTTTTATTCTATTTGCATTCTTTGCCAGTTATGTGTCTTCAGAACAAAAATAGCGAGAAAGCAAAAACCAGCGTGTGATACGAATCACTTTGGGTGGAGTACCTGACATGATTTTCCATCAAAATGACAGTCAAATTGCAATTTCCCAACGTAAGAAAACCCGCCAAATCTAGAGGCAGGAGCAGACGATAATTTGATTTAATTCGACAAACAACTGATCGCAGAAAAGGGAAATCCGGTGATGTCGACCAGCTTTAGCTATATACCGGCAGGTGTTGACGAACGATTCCATTGGCTAATACAATTACTCTACTGAGAGGTGCGAAAACTTGCGATGATATTTCAGCAAAACTCTGGCTGATCTAATTAACTCCCTCCATCAATATTTAAAGGAAGAGAAGGTAATTTCATCAAGTCAGAACTGCGTACCAATTCTCTTTCCTCATCTCAGATCCGCTCCGACAAGGTGGCGGAAGCAAATTCACTGAGGCTAAAAAACGCGTCCATTTTTGCAATAAAAGCGCAAAATCACTCCGCGCGGGTGACTGGCGAAGTGTCGACATATCGGCCTTCTAGCAGATTTGGAGCGAGCAAGTGAGAGCGACATCGCCAGACGATAGCTCCAAGCCTGACAGATAATTTAATATAGAAATGTGCCTGTTTTTGCGAGTTGAAAATTTAATGGAAGGTTTTTAGAAAAATCTATCTCTCACCTTTTCCTATGTCAGACACGTTTTCATCGTCGGCTGGTCGCTTCAGACTTAACCGGTGGTCCCTGAAAAACACGAAGATCAATAGTGTTTGAAGATTTATAGGCTTGGCGTGGAAGGGACACTGCATGGTGTCTTCTCATTCACGTGGTATTAACTTAATCAATTAAGGAAAACCCAAACAAATGGCCCTCAGTTGAAAACAATACCTGACAACAACGGTCACTGACAACAAAACAAATAGAAAACACACTTTAATACCGTACTCTCTGATGATTTCTAAGAAAAGTCAGCGTGGGTAGATTAAACAGGAAATGGCAAAGTAAACTAAAAGATATATTACGATAAAATAGTTCAATAATTACATGTTGTACCTTCGGCCCATTCCATTGTCTCGGAAACCCTTAGCAAACGGATTGTTGTCAATCTTAAGTTGTGTGATCTGAAAATAAAATGAATTGAAAAATTACAACAAGTAAATAAAAAAAATCTGATTGAATACATTTATTAAAGTTTCGTATATTCTATAAATCAGTTTCACGAGACATGTGTCATTTCTGGAGAAACAGAAGTGATACATCCATTTTTTATTGTAATGATCCTCAAGCCAGTGTCCTCATCAATGATTCAGAGAGAAGGAATATTGACCAAATCACAGGGAGCGAGTTCTTTTATCCTGTTACGCCATACCAGATCACCCAAGACCCTGGACAACAGATGGGCGTAAGATAATCCAGTGGCGTGTGTCCACCACGACCATAATGTACCATCACAGACCAAGAAACGGCTACTCAAGCCTCATCGGTAAGAGAGATAGAGTTTCTTGGTCCAAATTGATATTGATCCTGTTCGGATATTGCCCTATACGATTCTATTGTTTAGACAGAATGGACTGTTTCCTCTCTGGTCTGGATGTATCGGAAATGGTTAGAGGGCGGATAGTTTTCCATGCGGGAGAGACTCCCTCTCTGATTATTAATAGATATTGAATCTGACTTTGAAATGTTAAGCATCTGTTTGATTACTGACTGTGTAATTACATGTAATTATTTATGGCTGAGAGCTGGCACATAAAACCTCAGAGACTCTTTCTGCTTTGTAGAAGATTCGCTCTCTGATATTTGTAACATCGCCACTCTCCTAAAATTGACATTTTTCATCATATTTTCACCCTTATAATTTTTCATTGGCGATATTAAATTTTACAGCAAAGTTATAATATTCATATTATACATGCCATGAAAATTAAATAAAGAGATAATAATTGTTTCTTTGGTTTTAATAATTGTAAATATTTCAATATGTTTACCTGTTCGTTTTGATAAGCAGTGACAGCGATAAAGGAGGTCTCATCGAAAGCATAGGTGTTGAAGGAATTCCACCTCATGGTAAATATATCGTTCGCCTGCACAACGTGAATCCTGGATTGGTATTTATGCATCGAGTTGAGAATTATCTGAAAAAAGCATTCGAAATTAAAAAATCAGAACTTTAAAACTCGATTTAAAATACCAAATAATACTGAGAAATTGTTACAAAAACATTTTTATAATATGACCTGAAAGTGAAATATTAAATTGACAAGTCCTTTTTTAATGACTTAAAAATCCGGGCATATTCTAAATAAGATAAATAATTTAAAACCCATCTGGATACATTATGTCTATTCCGTATTTCTTTTATGGAAAAGGAGCATCGGAAGAAAACGATAATTGAATTAGTGTGTATTTTTCCAGATTAACTGAATATTTGCTGTGAAATGATAGTACATACGAGATGGCTTTAACAGAAACGCGATTTCTCTTTGTTATTAATTAGAATGTGCGTGTTCATTTTTATGTAATCAAATTGTTGATTATTCTGCGGAAAAGGGCTTTAAAAAGACCATTCAAGTCAGAACTTGGTTTCTTATACGTCTTTCATGAAGGAACTATTAAGGATGTTTATGGCGTCCCAGTAAAATAGTATAAATAATAAATAGATTTGGTACGGGCAGATTGGCGACTAATCGTGCACCATAGTGCTATTGGGTGTTGTGGGAACGAGTACAAACATTATTCATGATTGACGCGGAGAATTTGTGAATCATTATGTTTTTCATACCTATTTGTGTCAAAATCACCAAAAAACTAATTAATCTTATACAGACTGTGTAGTGAAGGCGCACGGTAACACAGCTCGTAAACACACCACAGCTCTATTGTGCTTTCAATTGCTAAAAGCTAGTATGGAAAATTGTACGGAAGAAAAAAGGCATGTGTACCATTGTAAAGTACGTCAAATAATTAAACGTAGCTAAATGTTTAAAACAGAATGAAGTGATAGTTCAAAATTACAAAAATTAGGAACAACTTCATTGTAAATTTTATGAGAAGTGGTTTTGATGGGAGATTTACTAGGAAGGATTAGAACAACCAGGACAGAACATCAAAGTGAATCGAATTATAATTCAAAACACTGCTGGTCTCTTCATATTACAAGTATTCCATACCATAGAATTTTCAGTGTGGCATTATCTTTTGTCATATTTCATTTTAGATTAGACAATAAAATCTAATCGTTTTTTTACAGAATATAACATATGTCCATTTTATGAATTATTTCCAGTTCCGTAGCGTTATCGACGTATCTCAACCATTACTGTGCGATAGAGGACTTTACATGTGTTACCATGTTCACAACAAACATTAAATCTACACGATAATAATCGTGGCGACATTTCTATCTCCGTCACTAAATGTACACGACACGATACCCTCAAGAAAATCAGATAGTCACAAACTGTCACAAATCAGCGAAGATAATGGCGCAATTTCTTCAGATTTACGTGATAAGAACAAAAGTGAAAAACTGTTGTAATTGACGCGGCGTGAATTTCGACAAGGTGTCTTTAGTTTTGACCACGGGCGACAGTAGCGGGTCAGTTTTCACTCATAATAAGGCGGGCTACATCTGAACTTCAACACTATTTACGCATGGGTCACGTGGCTCACAAACGTATATATATATATATATATAATGATTTGACAAGGTCTAATAGAACACGCCAAGTATGTTTGTCAGTTCACTGTCTATTTTTGTAAACCATCCTTTTGTAATTACCAATGCTTTTTTCGTATATCGTTTCGGCTCTTAATGCCCTATAAATTTTATGCAAATTTTAATTTCGCTGTTATGAAAATTGAGCTGAATTGAAAACGATCTGAGCTCGACATGATGGATGCTGCGAGATATTAATCTTTCATTTTGTTTCAAATACAAATAATAAAGCAGAGTGCCTGCTACTCCATTACCAATGCATAAGTAGCGGCACCAGAACTTCCCGCAGTTTTTTTGGTGGCTGTGGCGGGATAAAATACACTTAGTAATTCCCCATTAATTGCCATTATATTTTTACATGTAAAATTGGAAAACCTTGCAATGATATTGGCGACGTATTTTGTGACTTTAAAAGTCAGACTGTTGACAGACAACATTTACAAATGAGTTATTTAAACATTCCCCTGCCTTGCTGTAGCCCAGCACGCAGATCTTCTCCCTCCCAAGGGAGAGAATTTCTATTAAGACCAAACTGTCTGTTTGACGCACTCGTGCCGGGGTAATAACAACACGAAGAGCCATACGCAACATTCGGGATGGATTGGGGAAGAATGGCAAAAAAAATACCAGCAGTAAATGTTATTGGAGTTAAAAACGAAAGATGTCTTATAGTCAGTGTAAACTGCTGATGGTTACAATCAAAGAGGAAACTTTTAATTCAAGTAAAATCTACAAAGAAATTTTTTTTTTTATTTTACATTCTATGTGATATATTTGAAAATATGCAATGTTTCAGTCATTAGCAGTCGGAATAATTTTTTTCTGGTATTTACAAAATATGAGAAAGTAGAATGTTCCAGTCGGAAGTTTCATCTTTCAGAAGTTAAAATTTTGTGCATTTATCGATTTACGTAAAAGATACCAAATTGACAAACTGAAACTTACAACGATAATTGAAATACATAAAATATAGATAAATATCATTTGGTATAGCCATTTGGGTTTCCTGTGTGCTTATTTTATATGCTAAATAACTGACTAGATGCACCGAGCTAAGCTTTAATCTCCGATTAGAGTCTCCACAACGCATGCATAATTCTCAACTATTCAATCTATCGTGTCTATTAAATTATTTCAACCTAATTTTAAAGCAGTCGTATCTAGCATTAAAATAGGTCGTTTTATGTGTGCGCGTTTGTTTGTGCGGGCTGTTCTCGAGCTTACGACCAGCAGCGTGCGTGATATCTTCCTGACAAGTCACGGCGTAATGTGAAAAGACTCGTGTTTAGGCCGACTATATTAACTGGAAAGCTTCGGAAAAAGAGATGTTTTTTACTTCTACAAATTACCGCCAGCACGTGAGATAGATATTAACCAAACTAGTGAAATATGGCAAAATTGAAAGATTTTAACGTTACTTTGGACGCCGGGGAGTGTAGAAACGCGAGTGGAGAGAGTCGAAAAAAGAGGAAAGCGCCGATTAGGTTTCTGAAGGGGGGATGTTCGAGATGTTACTAATAAGGCACGGCACGAGATTCCGCTTCAGTCTCCGTGTTTCGTGTACGGGAATGTTCTGTCTATTTATTAAGCAAACCCATGAATTCTCCCTAGTGTGTCCTTCACGCCGCATTAAGGTGGTCCGGTCTGTGACAAAACTTTGGTCATTCTAGCTCTTGTATTCATTTGACCACGTTTAGAGAAAAAAGTTGATATATTGCTCATAAAAATGCCTCTCTGTTGGCGATATTCTACCTTCCCCAAATGATGTATCGCTGATCTTTGTAATATCTCCGTATACCTACGTTAGATGTATAGTTTCACTGACAGTAAACTGGTATTTAACAAACAAATGACTTCACCAGTATTTACATTCTTGGCAAAATTTCAGACTTCGGCGCTTGCTCAGCAATAATCGGACTTTGTAAGCGACAAACCGTTTAGATTAAGTCACCTTTATACCGGAAGGGGATTTCATAATGTAGCGTGCTTATAGATATCGAAAATCTAAAACGTTTATTTAATATTTCTAGTGTTTTTGTTCGTGACAATTTCTGTTCAGTTATAACAAGACAAAGCAATAAAAAAAAAATAAAGGAAAACTTTGATACATAGATTTAAATATAAAATACTTACATGTCCGTTTTGATCAAGGTTGTTGTTTGTCAGTTTGAGTTTATGAAAATTCAGTGGCTGTTTCATCCAATGGGAACCGGAAGCTGGTGAATCCGGATGTATGTACAATCTTCCGGGCATGTGTGGTTCTGCTTTACCAGTGACAACCCATTCTGAGTTGTGGTATTTGTAGCGACAATCGTCCACGGGGACAATGTCCACAAGCAGAATATACTTAGAGTGAGGGTCAAGACCCTCTAGACTGACCTTTAGCGTAGGAAACATTCGTCTGTGGAAGGAAACAAAACACATATAAAATATCTATGATATGTAATTTGAGCGATATGGAATTAAATATGTATAAAAATTTGATATTAAAATGGGACCATGAAATAATAGTTTGTTGGTTTTATCGCCCCTTCAACAGACACTTATCAAACTATGTGGATACCAAATCGTTATAAGATATTGTCCATTGTAACAACAATGTCACACTATTTTGTATTAATTTTAGAAATATACCGTTAACAAACGTGTGAAACATATCTACATAGATATCCGATAGAGGGAAAGAAAAACGTTTTCGCTAATGGTTACCAAACAAAATGAAGAGATAGAGAAGTTCGACATTTGTCACTTAGTGTGAGAAATGAACATTGTCAGAAATCTGCTCCAAACCCACTACCTACTACGTGTTAAAATTCGCTCGTTTCTCCCGCCGTCTGTCAATAGACGATCATACGGTGTCACAATGCGCACCTCAAAATAAAACAGCATTTAAGTGTTTCTTACTCAAAGATAGCGACTGTTGTTTTAAGAAGGCGAGATTGAGCCGAGCAATAAACACCTCCACTGAAGAATTCAATTGTCAGTCGGGAACATTAAAGACTTCATATTTTTCTAAACGTTTCTTTGGATTTTTACATATTAAGTTAAAGTGTGTACCTTGTTTTGTGTTTGTTTTGACAATTGTCTAAGTGTTTCCTTGTTGAAAGTGACGCTTTCGACACAATCCGTCCATGTCTCATATGTATCGCGTCATCTATCTCCTGGAGGGTTTGTCGGTAAAATCACACACAAACAAGGTGACAACTTTTCTATATTACAGACAGGTACTGATACGTCTAATAGTGTGATAATCCGACAAATAGCGGCAACGTCCCGGCGCCTCGGCAATTAGATTGACCGCTCGCGCGCCAAAAAATTTAGCATGCTTTTGGTCTATTAAAATTATTATCAATTAAGATATGATAACGTAATTATACATATTCAGCTATTGCTTTAATCCGATGTACTTTTATTAATGACCAGTGTCAACTACCATCTTAAGCGAGTTTTCCACATCAATATGTATAAGAAAAAAAAGTGTAAACCAAAAACTGAGAAAAATATTAATTTTTCTGAAATTTGTGTGAAAGCTGTTCGATTTGGAGATGAATATTAAATAAACAATAGGTACAAAATAGTTTAAACGTGTTATCTTGGCCCTGGTATATAGTCAAGGCCAGAAAAGAAATTTATTATTTATTTGAATGACAAAAAATAGTTTTAACAAGGAATAAAGATAGTTCTAATAAAAGCGTGTTTTTGTAAGGAAATACGCTGTCATAAATAGGAAGTATTGTAAACAAAATAAATTTATTGATATTTTTAAAGATTATATTCTATAAAAATAATGTTGATATGCCCACATGTACATTATTTATTATTTTATTTGTTTGAAGGTGTTTTTACCAATAATAAAATCTATCATGTTATAAAAATTCAAACTTACGTCGTCTTTTTATACTATTAGTTAGAATGTTCCTTTCGTATTTTGAATTATTCCGATTTTTTATTTTTAAGACATGGTACTAGTTGAAATATTGGCGCGATGATCAATGGTTTGGTCAGTCAGTTTACTTCTTGCAGGTTCGGTGACGAAATGTTATTCAGACACTAATTTTAAAGTGATATCACGTGGAGAGCGGTATCTTTGATTATAAACAAAAAAATGTCGTGTTTCTGGTCGGTCGGTAATTAGGACAAGTTTTCTGTTGAAACACACAAAAGGATGGGTCTAATAACAGAATTAACATGATCAGTTAACAAGCGATTTTAGACACCTTGAACCAGAATACGTCGGTGGGGTGTCGAAAATTAGTCCGGTTCTGAAGATAGGTAAAAAGAGACAATGACTGGGCCCCTAGGGAACGACAGTGCGCCGGAAGGCCGGAATTAACTCTTGTTCCGAATTATCGATTCGAATTTCAATCACCTATCGACAAAGATCGAACAGCTGTTGTTCCTAACGAGGAGAACTAACCCACCATGTCCTCACAGTAATTAAGGTTAACCTTCACGGTAGGTATCACACCTACATTTTCAACACTTTCGGCAACATTGTAGTGAAAACTAAACTACACCTGAAAAGAGACGGGCGGTGAATTCCTCAGCACTAATTTCTGATAATGGGAGACGCACGCGCGCTTTTGTCACTAGTTTTCCCGTCTTTGAAATAATGATAATATTTAACAAATCAAAATAGCAATGATTTCATTTCATTGTTAACCAAAGTTTTTTTCTAAAAAGATTAACCAGTTCAAAAATATTATCGAAAGACCGGGAAATACAATTATTTAAGATCAAGAGGCATAATAAACAGAACATAGGGTTTTTCATTTATCTTTCACACGTACACACTGATAACATGTATTCTTATGACAAGTTACGGATAAATGCTAATAAACTTAACTGAGGAATGTAAATTGGTGCGATCCAATTAGACAGTGAAGTTAGCAAGTCAAAACTTATCGGATAAATATCCCTACAAATAAATATCTGTTATTTACTAACTGAATTCGTAATTCGGGGAAAATTCAGTTCTACAAAGGCTGTTGATTTTAATTCTGTCTTTGGCACCAAACTGTTAAAGTAAATAATCAACACCTTGCGTGGTCGAGGTGTGCAATCGTCACGTCAGGTAGACCTGTCGTCTGCTCCACTACCTCTCCTCTCAATGAGGTAATAATCACGCTCTTTCTTTTCTCTCAAAACAAATTCTTCTCGGACTAATTGTACAATACTGGTAAGCAGGTGTTTGTTTGTAGGATTTCCATGTCTTTCTACCAAATATGTACCCGAAACCCCTTAAACAAACATTACCTTCGACAGGGCTCATTCGAATAAGTATTCCTGAAACGACGTGTTAAGGAATAAATACTGGCCCTGTCACCTAACACGGAAAAATACACGACTTCTACTAACACGTTCTGTAAATGATCTATTCCCAGTAAAAAAGACAAAATTATTTTATTTGTAATTTAGTTCATTTATTAATGAAACACCTTTTAACAATTTGTAATTATAGTGAAAACTTTACTTTCCTAAAAGAGGAAACGCTTTTTAAAAAATGAAATCTTGTGTGTTTATTAAAGATCTCGATTAAAGAACAAAAGCACGCGCTAGTTACACTTGATTATGTGAGTTCGATGTAATTAGAGTTTCTAGTTTAACGAAACTTACTCGAAACATCATTAATCTTGCTACCCTAAAACGCCCATGCTTAATTTACACAATAACGTTGAATATATTCTGAAAACTTTAATTATCATAACAAACCATTCTTTTTCTTGTTTTGTTTTTTGCATTTTGTATTGCAACCTTTACCAAACGTGTATTTTCATATATAAAACGAGTCCGTGAAATTAATAAATAAATCCTGTTTGTTACAGCCAATCGATTTCGATAATACCTGCCATTTATAACTGACCGTCACGTAACTTTCCCACGTTCTCATTAATCCATGTTTTTACTTTCTTGGAAATGTACTTAATAAATATAATAAGGAAGCGCTACATACGGTAGTGGTCAGGCATAAACTGACCAGCGTCCATCCGACAGTAATCCCCGCCCTTTGTTTATAGCGACACCTACCGTGAGAAAGTTTACACGGAAACTCCTTTTAAGGATCAGATATGAAACGAGCTTAATGGAACACTTTCAAACACAGCAGTTTGGATATTAATTTGTATTGAGAGCGGATTAACAGAGAAACAAATCATTTAAGGAAATGTGATGACATATTCGGATATCGTGGGAAAAAATGTGTTACGTACATGGCGATATTTTCACCTGTTATGTTTACCTGTATGTAAAGAATGAAAGTAAAAAAAAAATAAAATCAAATTTGTTCAGGATTATTTTTATTCTTTTTGTTTTAATTTTTTATTAAAATTTGAATGTAAATTTTGCACCTTCTATTGACTGTAAAATGCTTCTAACATCTAAGATTTCCCGTATTTTCTCGAATATATCATCATCTGTTATTATTTAGAATGGTTAGTTACCTTCCTGTCTTGGTTATTATCATCTCCGTACCGATACCGTGGAATTTGGACCATAGGTCACTGTTTTCCAGGTTTATCTTGATATTCTTGTCTGTGGCATCCCCCTGTCCTGGTCCCCCGAGCATACGCTTGTGGTCCACGTGAGAAGAGAGGGGCGGATATCCTCCAAACTGTTGACTCTGACCTGCATAAAAAGTTGCAAATTGAGCAATGTAGAAAAATATATAAAATTAAACATTTATACATTTGGTTGATGATATCTTTGTTTTGCTTTGTTACCACCAGATAAAGTATCGTTCAATATAAATCTTTATAATGTAAGAGTGATAACAAATATGCCATTATGTCTGTTATGTTACGCTGCACGTTCGTTGTCAGTTGTTACACGCGCCATTGACCTCCCAACGTGCGCACGTCTGAACGTGTGTCAAAACAAGAAAACAACATTATTATTTTCACATCATGTGGCGTTAACGGAGAAAACATCGACAAAATAATGATTTGAGTGTCTAGTTTAGATAATGCAAGTCCAAAATGAAGTCGAAAACAGAGACAGCGAACGCGAAGGTTAAAAACACGCTCCAGTTGTAATAGAATGTTCAATTATTAAAAGTGTTTCCTTGTTGAAAATAATCAAGTAGAAATGAAATATATGTTTCAATGATGAATTTATTTCCTGTTTAATTTTAGAATGATTATGAAAACGTAAATTTTACATTAAAAATCAACAGAAAAACACTTACAGACCATAAATTGATAAATAAAGATTTAACATAATTATTAATTTTTTTTGGCAGATTAAGTATTCAATTCAATGCAATGCTATTGATTATTGAAATAAAAATAGTGAATAATGGCGTTTAAAATGAATTATACAAGAAATAATCATTTGATAAATTTTTAAAAACTAGCATGTCTAAACGGATGGGAAGTACTGTGTGAAAATTATATTGATTGGAAACGATACAGAAATTCGATGTTAAATCGCGGATGATTACTTTTGTACGAGAACGTTAGATATCATTATGGTCTGCAGTTGTCACTTAATTTGAAAATCTGACAATGTCCAACACGACTTAGCAGTTGCAGGTGACAACCGCAGAAACGGCCAAAAGTTGCTGAATTCTGACCGGTCCGAGAAGTACAATACATTCAGCGAAAAATTGATATTTATTGAAGATTTGTTTAGTCACTCGTAATAATTTATAAAATTATATGAAATAATGTGGAAAACAAGAACGTATATTTTCGTGTTCGTTTCCAAGATTAGCTTTTCCGTTCAATATATTTTTTACTGAATATTGTAATAGATTTTGACAGGAAATATTGCAAAACTTCACAATATACTTCACAACGGCTTGTCTGTTTGCTTATTTTATCTACAAAAATAATAAATCCCTTTTACATATAAAACACGCTTTCGTCAAAACCATATTATTTCTCTGAAAAGTGTTAACATTCTAAGCATCCGATAATTTGTTACTGCTGCAGAAAATTTATAAATAACCTTATCGATATATTTTTGAGAGAAACAAGATCAAATATTTATTTGACTGCGATTTCATAATACCATTAAATGCCATCATTTGGGACACATTATACCTCTATAAGTCTGTTACGGAAGCCCGGTAAACACAGCGATGTTTGTGTAAATAAGATATGTAGTGGAGAGCTATTTAAAGGTGTCTGGTTTAAGCTACAAAACCTACATCACATATAGTATATAGAATATATCAAGAAAATTTGTTCCGTGTAAATTAGCGCGAATATTTTTTTATATTTTTGTTTTCGCAAAACGAGTACAAAAAATAAAAATGAAGCGTTAATTATTTAAATAAAAGAATGCAGCAGGTTCACAATAAAAAGACTGTAATCGCTAACTTAAACGCGTGTATTCTTACAGAAATATATACTTCTAGCGATATCGTTTTTCTCCTGACGTGACTTCTCGTTGAGTGTTCAGAAATAAAAATAATTAATAACAATAATATATCTAATGTTTTACTATCGAGATCTATGAATATTAAAATGTTATCTCAGATCTGTTACAGCAGGTGCGTTAAAAATTATTTCAACATTCTCTTTCCGTTAATAAATTTCGATAACGTTGGAAATGATATTTCTTTCTTCTTTCAGTGAAAAAATATACACGTACCTTGCAATCCCATGGGATCGTGAGCTGGATGGACGGGAAATCCGAACGAAAAGGCCTGTGGAGTAGGCATGAGTCCGTGTCCCAGGGGAAAGGCCCTGGCCCTCTGTGTGATGATATCCTCCTCATACATGCCCGAGGGTACGGACGAGGAAGGGGTAGGGTAGTGATTTCCCTGTAATAGTAACATGATTTCCTTGGTAATGTTTACAAGTCCTCTGTTAGATGATGTTAACACGTGCTGTGTGAAGACACCAATGACTTCAAACTCTGCCCTATCGCCTTAATAAGCTCCCCAAATTTTACATGACAGGTTGCAATTTTTACAAGTGATGGGTTGAGTAGAGTTGTGTCCTTATTACACCAGCTGTTCACTCAGCCGTGAAATTTGGATAGCCAACTGCCAATCAAATTACGGTCAACCCGAAAGGTGAGATTAGACAACCGGTAAAAAGTGTGATCTTAGGTCTATGGTAGAGGGCCTCTTGATCACCGTAACCAGCCGAGGGGGCGTGGCTACCGACCACCCGACACATACCCGTATTGAGTTTGAAAGGTTGGCCCGCCCACCGTGACAAGTTGAGCACCTAAGCTGACTGGGTACAGTGTGGTGGGTTGAGGATAATTTACATCACATACAACACAAACTACTTACTCTAGTTATAGACTGATTTACGATCCACTCTAAATTCTAACTATAAATTCTCCACGCTCAGGTGTAAAGTTTAAAACACACAAGAACATGATTCGCTCTTAAATGAAAAGCGCAATAAATAAAATAGAAAATGGTGTGTCCACATGCATATATATTCTATTTCTGATAACTTTGTTATAAAATAACGAAAATGTAAATCTAACTTATACTTTTCTTCTTCTAATTTGATGAATAATTAAAATAATTACCTGTTTATGTAAATGTAGCTGGTGAAACGAACACGTTTCGCCGTCAGACAGTTGAGGCTAAAAGCTCGGTAATCCCAGTAAGGCTATGTAGCAGTTTCAACACTCCGACCGACCCAGGTGTGAAACTTTGTGAGGATACAGACGCAGAAATTTACAAATTTGTATTACAGCTTTTACCGACAAACCCGTGGACCATTGAATGGTGCTATCTGTATCGAAGATCTCAGTGCCAATGTTCACCAGATAAGACACATCAACACACGAAAGGCATGTCGTAACGCCCATTCGCCATAACAAGTCAACGATGTTTCATTTACATTTGCTCCGCCTCCATCCAGCACGCGGGCGCCGGCAAAGATACAGCTTCGAAAAAAATACCGTTAAAACAAACGGCTTCCATCAACACTAGCACCGGCATCAAGATTTATTGAACACCGTTTTTGTCTTGTAGTTAAATTTATAAAACGCAGAGAAATGGAAATTGGTTGTAACGTCGTGTAACGCACGTGTAAACACTCCGTAACTACATTCTAGCAGCTCAAAGACTGATGCATATTTATGAGAAGTAGATGCTGAACATTCCACAAAAAATACACAACGGGTTGTTCAGTGAGAGTGTACCTGTCTTGTTTTACAAGTAGTCACAATTATTAGCGTCTGTGACTTTCCGTAAATACTTGTTATAAAGACTTAATATGAAATAATTTGTTTTCTAGTAATTTTGTAATTTATAACTGTATTTATATAACAATACGTATCGGGTTAAACTTGTGTTCAATCCTTTTGCGATCCGAGTTGCAATAAAATATGTCTATATCAAAACGAATTTTCAAAAATATCGAGTTTGAGATATTTTCATAATATCGGACATACAACAATTATGTCAGCGTAATTTTCATACGATATTCAAATAACTTTTCAACATTCAAACTTATGTTTTATTCATTTTGATTAAGACAATATTCTGCAGAGTATGAAGGCGCCATAATTTTTGGCGCCCAGTGTAAAAGGAATCGACGGGGAGAAAGAGCCAGGCGCCAGAGGACCAGGGATGCTGGACGAGAGAGATTTCTACTGGTTCTTGTGTTGATCAATACAGTCCCGCCTTATCGCCTGGCATTGATAGTGGCGTATCTGAAAAATCCACCACCATCAACGTTTTATAACAGAATAGCGTTTTAATTATGTACAGCAGATCGAAAAGATTTTCATAAACATAAATATAAAAAAGGTAATTTGGATTAAGTTGTGTAATATGTAATTGTATCTCTACACAATATATAAAGTACAACGATAATGAACATACGTCAGATATGTTTGAAGGATTGTTACTATAGGACAATTTACAATATTGTATTTTATATCAAAACAGTTTTGTCTTAAATTTAAATTTGTTTACGGGAAGGATCAACGACCCTGTTTCCTAGTCTCACAATAAGAACTCAGAATATCAGTTGTAATTAAAAACGTTCCCAGTATTTTGTGGAAATTCAAGGTTACCGTTATCTATTTACACTTGTTTCCTTAATTAAAACTTATTAATTCTCCTTGGCCCACTTTGAAGCGCGTGAAGATTGACAGACGTACAGAAGTTGAGAATAAATCTTGACTAATTGTCACCTGGCTACATATCACCTGGATATAGGGGCCATCTTGTCCGGGAAACAGGTTTCCTCTCCCGTATTTCTCTTTCTATTTTAATAAACAACCCTGTTGAAAATCCCACTTACTGACAATTGAATTAAAGAGCAGTGAAATTATTTTTCAGTATTTTAATTGTAACCTGAGATTTTAGTTCGTTAAAGATTTTGTTATGCACAATTAGTAAAAAAAAAAAAAAAAAATGATGAAGAGAGAAGCACTTGGATATTCTCCTCTGTTGAATACACAAGACACGGGTGGTTGACCACACTCAGCTTTGGTTATCTCCTCAAAATTGCAAGGCTCGTTAAACACTCGCTTGGGCTATCTCCTCTAATTTTCACGGATGGTTAAACGCAGCCTTCGTCGCTTGGGTCATCTCCTCTAATTTTCACGGATGGCTAAACGCAGTCTTCGTCGCTTGGGTCATCTCCTCAAGGTAACGGTGATCGGCTAGATCTAGCTTGGGTCCTCTACTCCATACTTCACGGTCTACTGAGCAGGACCAGAAATTGCCTGAATCCATAGTCTAGGTGTTGACATAGACCTGAGAATTCCTCGGTTTTCCATCCTTTGATGTACCGACTGCTTAGGTAGCGTACCACTGTTGGGTGGATTCTGATAGGCTCGTCTAATATAGGTTACATCGATCTGATTTTAATGCTGCATGCGTTCCCTTAAATACAATAAGTACAAATATATTTTTTATATAACTTTTTGAAAATTCAATTAACTGAAAAATAATGACACAAAATATTTCCCTGCTTAAAGGAGTACAATTCTCACTGTCTGAATTAAACACATTGTAGGATTTTGTTAAAATATTTATTGCGTTTTTGTTTTTCATTTTTTTATACTTGAATTTATTTATTTATTGAACAAAATAGAAACATAAGCAAGCGAGATAGAATACACATTAACACGGTTCGGTGAACTGTCTCGCTTGGGGTTTCTCCTCTACACTTCAAGGGTCGTTAATCATGGTCACGGTGTATGAACATTCCCGTTACTCGCTTGGGTTATCTCCTCCTACATTTTACAGGTGACTGAGTACACCCTGCTCAGCTTGGTACATCTCCTCAAGGTACCGATGGTTGGCTCGGCCTGGCTTGGGTTCTCTCCTCCAGATTCCACGCATCAGTAGACAGGCGAAAATTCGAAGGAATGGTATGCTCCATCGATCGCCTAAGTGTTTACATTGCTCTGAGAATATGTCAGTCCTTTGTTTCTTTGATGTTCCGACTTCTCAGGTAACTTATTAAATGTGATTCTGATTGAATAACAAATATAGGTCACTGGTACCTGATCTTGTATGGTGTATTCATTTTAAAAAAAATACTGAAAGAAAAAGTAATAATAAAGAATAGTCAAAATATTTGAGTACATATTTAAACTTAACGGTAACAAGTGCTGATAAACTAAAAAATCCGTCCTGCTTTATTCCTCAACGATCGGCATAACAGAAGATGTTTTCAATGACCAACTTCACTTGCTAAATACTTTTTAAAAAAATATATTCCCTGACATCCTCCCTTCCAGTGTGTAAATAGGATTATATAGTCACTATTGAAACGTCATTATCTGATATGTATAAATTGTCATCTTTCATTCTTTGAAAACATGCCATGTTTCAGAGTCACGAAAGTAGAAACGTTCTGTCCTATCTTTGTCATGTCTGATCTTAGCAGCAATAGTAAATCCGTTATATCAATAAACCTTACAAAATAAGTAAATAACATGAGCAAAGAAACAAAAAATCGATAGAGAATATCCTTTACAATGTATCTGTAAAAGGTGGTACACTGGAAGCAAGCTACGTACTAGTCTCATTACAGGGCGAAATCTTCATACACAAATAATACCTATATCGTTTGGAGGAGATATGAATACAAGTGTTACGTTATAAAAGAGTACTGTTATTCTTTCATGACACATTTAAGTGGTAGATGTAATAACAAGTTTCTCCGTTTTATTTCTTTTTATTTCTTGTTTTAAGATAGTATTCTCGTAGAGCCAGTAAAATATGAACAGGAGATTGACATGAATATTTCAAAGAAAAATCGATATCCAATATATTTATTCATCACCAGTCCAGAACAAGTGATGATTCCGTGATATATAGTGACATTTAACACATATTTAATTTAAACAATATTTTATTCAATATTAATAATATACCACCTACATAAAGTACGTATGGGCGGGTGGGAAAACAAGCTTACAGCTTGTACTCATTTCTTTACCTAGTACATATAAAAACAAATGGATTTCCGGAGCTTGAGACACCTTACTTGTACGGAATGAAAAATAATAAAGTTTAAAACATTATATGGCACATATCCATGATATGATTGCTCTCTCTTTTATATAAAATACTTCCAATTGCCTCACTCTTACTGAACAACCAAATTCTATTTTTAATCTTTCCATCATCAACCTAATTTTATGATATGCCTCCGTTTATTGTTTTCTTGAGAATCCCCGAGATACATGGTTTTTATCATCACAGTACATAGGTTCGACCGGATATATAAATCTCTCGACCAACGATGACAAGCATTTTTTTTACACCACCATCCCTGACACGGTTGACTGATTTCGTGAGAAATACATTAAATAAAAAGTCCGAAGTTTATCAGCTGACCA